CAGCACCCGTAGCTCAGTGGGCACCAGCCACATACATCCATACACTGTGGCTGGTGGGTTCAAACCTGGCCTGGGCCAGTTAAAACAATGACAACTGCAACAAAAAATATAGCTGGGCGTTTTAGCGGGTGCCTGTAATCCCAGCTACTTGGGAGGCTGAGGCAAAAGAAGCGCTTAAGCCCAAGAGTTGGAGGTTGCTGTGAGTTGTGATGCCACAGCACCCTACCCAGGGCAACAGCCTGAGACCCTGTCTTTAAAAAAAAAAAGAATTTATATCTTTACCTACAAAATTAAGTACGAGAAAGGACTTATTCAAGTACGATATAATAAAACATAAGCTTCATTAGTTTCATAGGAAACTCACCACTGTATCTGGAATATAGTAAATATTCCATAATTATTTATTGAATAATTTTGATTAGTTAATAGCTATTGATTAAATCTGAAGTTTGGATGTGGCCTCTTGCTTAGTATATAAAGGTACCTCAGCCTTAATTAACCTCAACCGGCTTTAGTGCATGCCCTTTATTCCTAGATCTGCTAAATGAAATAAACAGCTGAGTGGATTTTATTTTCTTGATTGACTTATAATGTGAACTTTTGAGGTTTGTTGTTTTAGCCCATTTTCTGCTGCTATAACAGAATCCCACAGATGAGGTAATTTATAAAGAAAACAGATTTATTTGGCTGTTTTTGAGGCTGAGAAGTCCAAGAGCATAGTTGTCAGCATCTAGTGAGGGTCGTCTCATGATAGAATTGAGCACACAACATAAAGGAAATCAGGCTATACTTGGTTTTATAACAAACCTAGTCTCTTGATAACTTATCTATTCCCTCTATAACAGCATCAATCCATTTGTAAGGGCAGAGCCCTCATGGCTTAATCACCTCTTAAAGGCCCCACCTCCCAATACATTGATATATGAGTTTTGGTGGGGACACTCACCAAGTGTACTAAGTGTGAATACATTTCATTATATAAAAATGTTTAAATTCCAAACTAAAACTAAAGTTATAAAACAAGTAAGTCCATCAGATAGCCACTGGGAGGTGATACAGATACTAGATATATCTTTCACTAGACCCTTAAGAGTAATAAATTCTGTCAGACTGAGAACATGGAATTTTAGAAATACTGCATTTTGCTACAGTCCACATTCAGATATGAATACTGATGAGGCCCACAAATCAATACATAAATGGACTGCTTAGTGTTTTCAAATAGATGATAAAGATGTTCATGATAGAGATATAATATCAATTTAAGAAATGTTGAGGTTTTAATGACCATAATTACCTGTAACAATTCAAAAAATAAATAGGAGAAATTAGATAATTAAGGAAGAAAGAGAAAAGAGACAGAAAATATTCCAGAAATAATTTGTGAATCTCAGATCTTATAGCCAACACTTATAACACTGCTAAACATAAAGTACTTACAATTGGTAATTCACAATTAAAGCATAGATAGGTATAAGCTATGTTTCTTTTCCTTTGGTTTATGTGCCTGTATGAGGTGTTATGTAGCCTTAAAATTCATATATTTCAACAAATGGTCAAGAATTTCAAGATGTAGTCCAGTTAATTTTAAGATCAACTTGTTCAATTCCACAAGAAACTTAGAGGAAATTCTTATTGAAATTCCACTGAATTTTACAGATTATTTGGGGTCAGAATTGATATCTTAATGACTGATACGTAGTCTTCCCAGAACTAAGCAGATAGATGTCTGTATTTTAATCAGGTATTTCAGTAAAAGTAGGTAATTTCTTTCCAAATGTATTGTATATCATTTGCTTACTTTTAGTGAAGAATCAAATATAAATTTCTCCAGAGAAAGAAACTAGACAAAACCACCTAACTCATTTGACAAGGTATAAACTTGATACCAGTCAAGAGAATTCCAAGTAAAGAAAGTCACAGACTATTCTTAATTGGCAACATAAATGCAAAAATCTTAAATATTATCAAGTTGGATACAATAGTATGTATTTTTAAATAACCACTTTCTTCATTGAATATAAGGATCTATTATGAAAGTATTATGAAACTCTTAGAGTAAAAGATAAAAACCACATGATTAACCAAGTGATTTTCTTATCCCAACCTCCCGAGTAGATGAGACTACAGGTGCCTGCTATAATACCCGGCTGATTTTAGAGACGAGTCTCACTTTTACTAAAGCTGGTCTGGAACTCCTGAGCTCAAACAATCCACCTGCCTTGGCCTCCCAGAGTGCTAGGATTACAGGTGTGAGCCACTGTGCCCGACCTCACAAGTGAATTTTAAATTATGATATATTGTTTAAAACAGCACCAGTAAACTTTTTCTGGAAATGGCCACATAGAAAATATTATATAGGCTTGTGGGCAAAGAAACAAAACTGAGGTTATTGTGTTTTTTTTTCTTTTTTGTTTGAAACTGAGGTTATTATGTAGATACTTACATAACAAGAGAAAAAAAGATTTTCTGTAAATCTTTATTGACAAAATTAAGAATATGATAATTTAGTATAATTTTGTAATACACGTATGTATATGTGAAAAATGGAATTCTGTCTTAGAGTAGTAGTTTACTTAATTGGAGTTGAAACCTAATGTTTCCTATCATCAGTATCTTTTGCAAACTTTAATCTGTTAATGCTGAACTACAATGAGATTTTACATATTTAACCTTTGAAAATGTCTTTTCACATAGATATTTGGTACTGTGAAACACTAATATGAATCCATGAGTATATGGTTTTAATTGTGTATATTCACAGACTGAAAGACATTTTTAGAATTCTATCAGCTAAAAGGCTAAAATGCCTTTTAGCTTGTTATTTCATTGCAAATCACTTCTAATTAAAGTTCGTCAATTGCACAGTTAAATGGATTTCGGAATATGGAAATTTCCTTTGCACTTGGATCAAGGTTTGAAAAACATTGCTATAGTTTCAAATCAGAAAAAAAAAAAGTCTCTCAAAATTTGTGTAGGAATGGGGATATCACTTTAAGAAATTTTTTTGGAGAGACAGAGTCTATTGCCCAGGCTGGAGTGCAGTGGCGCAGTCACAGTTCTATGTAACCTCAAACTCCTGGCTTCAACCAATCTTCCCACCTTAGCCTCCCTAGTAGCAAGAATTAGTCATGTACACCTTGCCTGGCTATTTATTTTAATTTTTTGCAGAGATAGGATCTCATTATGTTACCCATACTAGAATGCAAAACTCCTAGCCTCAAGAAGTCTTCCGTCTCAACCTCTCAAAGCACTGGGATAACAGGGATGGACTACTATGCCCAGTCATTTTTTTTTTTTTAAACTTTGACAGTTCAAGTAGTATATACTATAGCTTAACATAACTTGCAACTCAAATGATGTTCTCATTGAAAATACTTTAACACCATAAGTTTCACATATAAGCACTATTTTGGTTCATAATTTTAGCTTGAAACATTTTCAAGCCTGCCACAAAAGCTAATTCCAAAGCTATTCAGAGTTCAGTAACAATGGTTAAACATGGTTCTTCATACTACTTAAGAATGTGGTTTACTTGAGGGTTGTACAAAAGGCAGGCTAGATTTCACCCATGGGCCACAGTTTGCTGACCTTTGTTCTATAACGTCTTAACTAATTATATTCTCAGTAAATGTTAAGTGCCTATCTTTTTTTTTTTTTTTTTTTTTTTGAGACAGAGTCTTACTATGTTGCCCTCAGTAGAGTGCTGTGATGTCATAGCTTAAGACAACCTCTAATGCTTGGGCTTAAGCAATTCTCTTGCCTCAGCCTCCCAAATAGCTGGGACTTCAGGCTCCTGCCACAATGCTTGGCTATGTTCTTGGTTGTTGTTGTCACTGTTGTTTAGCAGGCCCAGGCCAAGTTTGAACCCATCAGCCCTGGTGCATGTGGCTAGCCCCCTAACTACTGAGCTATAGGTGCCAAGCCATAAGTGCCTATCTTCCACAACTTTGCAACATGTGATATAATTCTTTAAAATATATCCAGTTTGAAATTATATTTTCATTTTGCATTAATTTGAACAAGGTAAAATTATTTTTCATGATTATAGACCATTTATATTTATGTCTTCATTATAAAGGGACCATATTTTTTCCCATATTGGTAAATTTTCATTCCTTCAATCATTCAGTATACCAAAGAGAGTTCTAAATCCTTGGTGGTGTCTCTACTTACTTGCTCACTATAACTTTCCACTGCTTTCTTCCACATATCTAACACTTCTTATTGAAAGATCTATTATTGCCTGATAGAGCTGTGTTTTGTCAAGCTTCTTTGTATATATACATCATATGTCATTCATTGTTGCTTTTTCTCCAGTTTTCACCCTTCTATAATTCTTATTCATCCTTCAAGACACAGGTCAAAGATCAGTTCCTCCCCTTTGGCTCTCTTAATATTCTGTGCAAATACCTGACATAAAATCTATCCCACTTTTATATAATTAACTATTGGTTTGAGAAGTGGTATTATAACTGATCTCTCTATACTCCAGAAAAGTACCCAACACTTAGTAGGTACTAATTATTTGTTAACTGAATATAAGTTCAAAATAATAATAGTAGTATTGATAATATTAACAAATATATACAGCAGATCTAAAATCAGATTATTTAGTATCTTGTATAGTTCTTGGAACAATATAATTAAATTTTGGAGAATCTCAGATATTAAAGTTTCACCAAAGAAAACAGCAATTAGATTTTTATTCCCTGACAAAATTGAGTATATCAAACACTTTATTAAAAAACCTGTCGCCTTAAGACCTAAAATAATTTATTTAAGTAATTGCCTTTAGTTATACATAGTAGCTGTAACTCCAATTCAGAAAAATTTGCTTTTACTAGAAAAGAAGACTTAAGAAATTTAAAATACAAAAGAGAATATTCATTAGCCATTGCGATTCTTTAATCTGAGCAATAAGTTTCTTTCAAAATCTCCTTTGTAAGCTGAGCAAGATTAATTTTGGATTAATCTTTTATTTTGCTTTATTTCCAAAGGATATCCATTACCTTGCCCTAGATAAGGGTGAATTGGCACTAGCCGAAGTGGCAAGAAAAAAAGCTAGTGACATTGCTGCAGAATCAATAACCTCTGGAGTTGGTAAGAATTAATGCTGTTTTTTTAAAGTGCTTTTTGTTTTAATCAATACTCAGTATCATTTCTATTTATGTTTGTAGGGCATGGTTGGTTAATTTGAATTACTTTGTGCCTTTAAAGAAAGAAGAATGAAGCCTTGACAAATAGTACAATACTGTTATGCAAGTTGGAATTATATAAATGTGAAAACTGATAAACAGCGAACACTATAGTCACCATTTAGCAAAAAGTAAAAAGGATATTGTTCTTTTCATAATATTTTGGGGAAAAAATTTTATCATCAGTGCTGTTACTAAAATTAACCAACACAGAAATTTATATAATCCTTATTATATGCAGACATGTCATATCTGAAAAGAATTCTGTCCTATATTAGGCAAAGTGTTTCGTATGGGATTTTAAATTTGATGAGTGATTTATTTGAGTTAGAAGCCATTAGTCATCTTTCAGTGCAATATTCTAAAGACAGAAGCCTTAGATTTAAATGAAAAGTCCACTTACACCTTACACTATAAAAGAAAAAATGTTTAAAGTACTATAATATCAACACTAACTTCCTTTTTTAAAACTCAGTTTATCTAAGGTCACTCAATATGGCAGTATTGATACTTAGAAATCCATTTGTTATTCTTCTTTGTATTTATTACTTCTGAACTAGGCAAAGGACCTTCAGGACTGTAATAGAATTCATTTCTCTGTGGAACTCCTATGAGACAGAAATTTTAAATAGATTTCTATTTTGTAAGTTTCTTGAAAATACTATAGTTTCATTTTACCATGGTAGCTCTTAACCTGAATACCAAGACTGACAATTACCAGGAGGAAAGTTTCATTCTCTCTTCTGCCACCTGAAGGGAGTTCCAAATTGATTGAATTCAAAGGTACCTAGGACCATTTCCAAATCTCCATAAGGAGTACTCACTATTAATACAATGTTAGAAAATAATAACTTTAGCTGACCTATCACTATATCTTGTTATTTGCTAAGGATAGTAATAGGTGATATTTATTGAAAGCTCATTGTGGGCCATATACATTCTCAGTTATAGTTATTAGCTAATTTAATTTTCATCACAACTCTGTGAGGTAGGTTCAATTTATATTTGTTATGTGAAGTCACTTCTAACTAAATGATAAAACCATACCATGTTAACAGGAATGATAACATTATATGATAAAAATATCCTCTATCCCCATTCTTCTAGCCATTTAGGAAAATAACAGGAGATTAATTCATTGCTAATTTTCTGGGAATTTTCCTTAGTTGTCTTAATCCTGCTTTTTCCATCACAATATCACATGTAATAAAGGACACCTTTGTATTTTGAAACTATTTAAATTACTAAGGGTGAAAGGGAATGTGACAAAATTACTATAAAATTTTAGAAAACGAAAAAATTCCGCTATTCAAGAAAATGCCTCTTGTGGATTGAGGTAGGGCTCAAAGGGAGTACACAACAATTTCTGTGAATTATCAGCTGGCCGCAGTAACCTGAATAGAGAATACAGGGGAGTACTTAAGTAGTTCCATCCACATAAGAGACTCTCTAAAAAGAAGTATCAAACATAAAAACTGTCAACATAGTTAAAAACAAGCATTGCCAATGAAAAAGTTAAATGATAATAAACTGCACAATATGGTAATTTAAAAAATTATAACATATAAATACAAAAAAAGGGTGCACAAAACATAAGTGTATGACTAAATGAACTTTTGATAAGGTAAACCCATCCTTGTAACAGTATCAGGACCCCAGAGCCCTACTGTTCCCAAAATTTCTCTGCCGAGTCTTTGGTCTCAGGAAATGGAAGAATGAATTCACAGACCACCACAAGCAAGTGACAGGACAGATTTCATTACAGATCGAGGAGGAAAACAAAGCCTAAAGCACAGCAGATGGGGTCCCAAGTGGGTTGCTGATTTTGGCTGTTTGTCTAAGAAGTTATATGTTCTTTCTCTTTTCCTGCAAGCAGGGGAGTTTGGGGAAATGGAATGTACATCTAAAATATGTTCTAACCTTTGGCATCAGAGGCCTATGGGCAGAAGTTAATTTTAAAACTGCCATTGTGTAGGAATGTGGTCTTGTTTGGGGCATTCAGGAGTGGTGGCTTACATAAATAAAACCAGTTTACGAGCCTGCTTAGGCTCAGAAAGTGGAGTCTGTGTCCAGCCCTGAGCAGGAATGGTAGGGACCTACATCATTCTCCTTCTGAATGAAAGGCCTACCTGCCATTATGGAAAAGGGAAAACTGATCTTACCCCTTCTTGCTGGACAGGAGTGAAGGGAAAAAAGGGGGGCCTTTAGGTACTCCCTGGAGGAAGTTAATCTAGGGCTCTATGATAAAATAGGGTTCTGGACCAGAACTGTCATCCCCACCCATAGTCTGATGGCATCAATTCTAGAAGAAATGAATTTGGTTAGCATATTTAAAAGGGAAAGCCCGAAGAGTGAGAGGAGGAGAATGATTACACTGGGTAAATGTAAATAAATTTCAGTAGAATTTGAAGGAAAAGGAACAGCATAAGCTTATCAGTGCCAGGTTGAAAATAACAAAGCCAACAACTATTTAAAGGATAAGCACTTGTATATGCTTGAAACAAATTATAAAAAGAATTGCTTTTATCTATTTCCCTACTAATAGAATGGTAAAAAACATTATCACTTTCCTTGATGGTTTCTAAATGATAACTTAAAATCTCCTTTAGGTTCACAAGTGTAGGTAAACTATAGTTGATTCCCTTCATCAATCATGTCTGTAAGAAGTTGTATGTTCCAGGGCTTTACTTACAAATGATGTATCCATTTCAGTAACTTTAACAGCTATAGGGGAAGACAAAAATTACCTGGAAAGGACCCTCCCAACTTGGGGTCAAATAATCCCTGGCCAAGGCCCATTCTTCCCCTTATGTGTACTGAGGGGCATGATTCTTGAGTGATCCTTGGTGAATTGGTGAGAGGGCTTTGATCATAACTAGATCTTCAAGGGAGAAAAGTTCTTGGGGGGGTCTTCATCAGCTTGTTGAAACTTAGCCAAGGAAGTTATATATTTTACTAATTTTGTAGTCTCTTGATCTAATAAGAAATCGTTAGTTAAAAAGGGTTGCCCATGGGTGGCGCCTGTGACTCAATGAGTAGGGAGCCAGCCCCATATACCGAGGGTAGCAGGTTCAAACCCCTTCCCGGCCAAACTGCTACAAAAAATATCAGGCATTGTGTTGGATGCCTGTAATCCCAGCTACTCGGGAGGCTGAGGCAAGAGTATCGCCTAAGCCCAAGAGCTGGAGGTTGCTGTGAACTGTGATGCCATGGCACTCTACCAAGGGCAACAAAGTGAGACTCTGTCTCAAAAAAAAAAAAAAAAAAAAGGGTTCCCCATATGATAATGCAGATGGGCTGCAACTGAGTCTTTAGGGTAAATTTCTCATCTTTAGGGTAAATTTCTCAATCTAAGGAGAACAGTGAAGAGTAACTTAGTCCAAGGAACATGAGTTTCCCAAGTTAGTTTTCATAACTATCCTTTGATTTTATCATTCATTTTTTTCTACTTTCCCAGAGAATTGGGGGCCTCTACAACAGTGTAGATGGTATTCTATACCTAAGGCTTTGGATATCTCTGTGTAACAGCTGCTTTGAAAGCAGGGCCATCACTTTGTGAACTTTGAGGGAGTCCAAACATGGGCAAAAACTAAGGCTTTTACAACATCTTGAGCCCTTTCTGTTTTGCAAGGGAATGCTGCTTAATTGGTAAAAGTATCCACAAATACCAATAAATATTGTATATCATATACTTGGGGGAGCCACCTGCCAATCTTCACCTTGATATTTACCATGTCTTTATACCTAGGGAAGCTAGATGACAGTTTGAAGGCTTCTTTGACATATTTCACAAGTTTTATTATCTGTTTTATGGTTTTAAACAAGTTCTTCTCATAAAAGACATCTTTAGCCATTTGATACATTTTTTAATGTCAAAATGAAAAGATTAATGTAAAGTTTTAATTGTTTTTCATTGACTTATGGCAGGTAAAAATAAAAGTCTACTTTCATTTTGTAACCAGTCTGAGGAGGGTAGTGAATAGTCTCTGGCCAGGGCCCATTCTTTCTCCCCTTATGTGTACTGAGGGGCATGATTCTTGAGTGATCTTTCCCAAACAAGGTGTCATGGGGGGGGGGGGTTCCCTTTTGCACTTTACCCTCCTTATCACCTTCAGAAATGTCACCTGAAGTTCTTTAGTGTCCCTTACTGCCACTTCTCATGGAGCATGAACAGCTTGTAATAACTTGTTTACTTCACAATGATATTTTATGGGAGAGCCATTGGAAGTTAAATATTATCTCTCTTTCCAAATGGCAGCATGGGCATGTAAAATGAAGGAAGCATATTCTGAGTCAGAATATATATTGACTTGTATCTCCTAGTTTCTAAGGTGCAGGTCTCAACACTATTAAGCTAGTTGTGCACTAGTTCCTGATAGGAGAGACCCACTCTTGATTACAGCATATTGAGTAACTATAGCATAACCTGCTTTGCAAATTCCTTGTTATATGAAAGAATTCCCATTGGTACATAATATCATGTCAGGACTACATAGGAGAGTGTTTTATAATCCTCTCTGGCTGCACGGGTTTTTGCTAAAATTTGTTGGCAATTATATTCTATTTCCTCATTGGAATCAGGGAGGAAAGTGGCAGGATTTAAAGTGGCACAGGTGCACATCTGTAGCATCAGCCCTTCTAATAATAAAGCTTGATATTTAAGGAGGCAGCTTTCTGACAGCCAAAGATTATCTTTTGAATCTAAAAGTCCAGTGAGGTCATGAACAGTGTAAACAATTAAATCTCTTCCCAAAGTTAACTTAGTTGCCTCCTGGGTCAAGAAGGCCACAGCTGCTACTACTCATAAGCAGTGAGGCCATTGATACATTAGCCACTGTATCAATTTCCTTACTACAATAAGCTACAGGCTGTTGAACTGGTCTGTGAGCCTGAATTAAGACTCCT